GAAAATGCACGTTTTCATGATCTCTTGTACCAAACCAATTGTATAATTTTGCTTGTGATCACATTATGAAGTGAATTGATTCAAAATGAGAGCAAATCATGACCTATAATGAATCAAATTCAAACCATGCTTAAAAGTTCATAATTCTCTTGAAAATCCTTCCACATGTCCATAAAGATCCATAGTTCTCATGATCCTTGAGTTCTATAATGTAAATGAGGTCTCTAGGAGCAAATTCCATGCTGGTTGGAAGTTCATTTGGTGTACACAAGTGCATGAAAATGACCTATGTAACAAATGACCCATAATGAAACTTTCCCAAAATACTCTTGCCTTGTAAGGTCCATAACTTGAGCTCTACAAATGATATCAAGGACTTCTAGGACATTTTGGAAATCTAAGACCATGAGGAACAACTTTCATATTCACATAAATTTGAGGAGAGACTTGATTCTAGGTCAAAAGTGCCTTGGAAGTGAGTTGACTTTTAGTTGACCAAAAATAAGTTCATCTGAGACCTCTAATTTGTTGGCATCATAACTTGAGTTCTACACACTCAATGAATGAGTTATAGTACTAAAAAAAAAGCTAAGAACATGCCCTACAAGTTTCATGTTTGTATGAAAATTAGATTGAACTTGTATCATATGGTGAGTTGCCCTTGAAGTTAGGCACTAAAGAAGGGGATTTTACACTAAGATCCTCTGAAACCCTAATTTAGTAACTTCTTGAACTCTTGATTCTTCTTTATTTGAGCTTGACATGACATCTTAGATGTCTCAAGACAACATCCCATGGCCTCAATGACTTAAAACCAAGTCTTGAACCCCCTCAAGTCCACAGTTGACCTTGAATTGATCAGATGAAATCCTAGATTCACATCCTTTGACTGTGACCTCTTGCAGATGAAATGAGTGTCCATATAAGCTCCACAATGCCTTCCAAAGCACTCAATGAGCTTCTCAAACATATTCTATCCATAACAATGATCTTATGAACCTCTGATGATCCTTTGTTGACCTCCAAGATAGGAGACAATCAACACACATCAATCCTTCCTTTCAAGGAGTTTTGACAACTTCATGATGATGGTAAACACTCTTGATGATCTGAATAAACACTCTTGCTTGAGCTTGAAACCCTTGAGACTCTTCTCTTGAATGACACACCTTTCTTGATCCCCTGTTAAGGATAATGCTATGCAAATGCAAATGCTAATGAAATGAAACATACGCCAAGTACAAGAAAAAGGGTTGGTCAAATTTTGGGGTACAACACCTACTACATAGGCTCTTGTCTTGTGATACGTTTCCACATGTCTTTGGTCTTTGAACTGCCTCTAAATTGCTCATACTATTGAAACTTTCTTTACAAACTATAACTATCGCTGTCGAAGAACTGCTCTGTCGAATTTTTTAGTGTGGTTCCATAATGTCTCTAAGTCTCATGTTCCTTGGACCCAAGAATATACTAAGTCTAAAAACACCTGATAGGCGATTCGAACTCACCAACTTTATACCACACTTTCATGTCGAAATGTTAAGCCACTGCAAACCTTTTCGAGATTATGAACATGTTTTGAAGATAAAGTGATTATAATTTTATGGATCTGTTCTTGAGATTCTTCTAAACCAGGCATAGTGGGTTTAGGTGCAACTTGAGTCAAAAATCACAGGCTAACAGATGCCCCCCAAAAATGCCACTTTCGATCATGTTTGCAAAATGGAAGAAAGGTGGAGTTTATAGTAAACTCTCGACACTGTTCAGAGTAATATGCATACGTCGTCATCATCATGACCATTTTCACCGAACTATCACGTCAATGAACACGAGTGCATTCAACCATCATAATTCCAACTTCCAAGACAATTGTGGGTCACAAAACCATCCACTTCAAAGGAAAATCACTTTAATTAATTTTAATTCAGAAAATATAAACATTAGTGGATTTTTAATTCAATGGGGAAAACTGAAGAGTTTTCTTGTACTATATATACACTCACATCTTCTTATTTCTCATTTTCGCAACTTCCCCTCTTTTGAACCCTAAGAGTTCTAATTTTTTTGGCAAACTTCACCATTATTTCTTATTTTCAAGTTAAGAACAATGACTTCTACTTCAGGTCTGCAAAAACAACTTCTGATTCCATTTGTTGCTAATGTTACTGCTCATTCTCTTCCTGGTGAGCCGCACCTATATCCCTGATCCACCAATGGAGAAATAAAAGGCCAAGATTTGTGATTCCCAAATATTAATCCCTTTTTCATATCAAGTAATATTCATGCATTTTTTGGGTCCATTTCCCAGGTCTTACAAAACCTGATAAGTTAAAAAAAAGTTCTTAGTTATCGTCGTTAAAAACTTTGCACGCTTGAACACAAAATATATGAGTTAGGTTTTATGAGTTCACTCCAACGTGTGTTTTGTTCTTCTCCTACCATCAACAATGAAGCTTATATCAATTGGTTGGATATAGTAGAAAAGAAGAAAGAAAAAATCTGAAAAATTCTTGAAAAAATCAAGGCATATATGACTTGATTCAGTTGTCTTGTTGTCCCAAATATAACCCTAATATGTTTATTTTAGCCCTTTATTTTTGGGAAGGCTCGACTAACACCTTTCAACTCCGCTGCGGAATAATAACCCCTACTCTTTTCGATGTGGTTCTCACTAGTATTCGACCAACTAAAGATACCTTCAACCCCTTTCTCAAAAGTAAAATCAAACCCAAACAGGCCCATTTGTGTAATGGGTGGTTATTTTGCTTCACCCAAACCAGAGTGTTCTATATGGATTGGGTGTTAGGTTTGGCCAAATCCACCATAAACCGACCCATGTACACCCCTATTCTCACAAGTAGCAAAATTATCTACTGTCAGAATCCTACTTGTTATAACATCCATCAAGAATTGACATTTATCTCAACTTTATGTGAATAATGCATTCTTACATGGAGATTTAAAAGTGGATGTTTACATGCTTGTACCTCAAGTAGTCTCATATGTCAAACCAAACCAAATATGCAAATTAGTGAACAACTTGTATGGTTTGAAGCAGACTAGTAGAAAGTGGTATGAAAATCTCACTTCTCTTCTTTTTAAACTTGGTTATGTTCAATCTAATGATGATTACTCCACGTTTACTCTAAAAAATTATAATAACATTACATTCCTACTAGTGTATGTTGATGACATAATACTAGCAAAAATATCATTGAATGAGTCAGATCACATAAAGTGTATCCTAGATGACAAATTTTAGATAAAAGACCTAGGAATCTTGAAATACTTCCTTAGTCTTGAGGTAACACATTCAAAAGATCAAATTGTTATCTCACAAAAAGTATTGCATTGATTTACTGAATGATACAAGTCTTCTTGTATCAAAGCCTATTGCAACACCATTGAATTCATCATTGAAATTACTACAAGATGGTAATGAACCTTTTAAGGACATCACCGCATATAGAAGATTGATTGGAAAACTGATATATTTGAACAATATCAGACTAGATATAACTCTTACTACATTACAGTTGAGTCAATTTCTCTAAAATCCTACACAAATCCATTATAAAACAGTATGTAGAATCATCAGATATCTGAAAAATAATCCTAGTCGTGGTTTACTATTTTGTGAATCATCAAGTCTTCAAATTTTAGAATTCTCTGATGTAGATTAGGTTGGATGCATTGGCATAAGGAAATCAACATCAAACTATTATTTTTTGTTAAGGCAAAGAAATAACAAATGATATTCATAAGCTCTTCTGAAGTTGAGTACAGAGTACTAGGCACATCCACTTATGAATTGGTTTGATTTTTATATGTCTTAAGGGATCTTTATATTCCATGTGCCAAACCTCGCTCTTATACTATGATAATCAAAGTGCCCTTCATATAGCATATAATTCTATTTTTCATGAAAGTACAAAACATCTTGAGATAGATTGTTATTTGGTAAGAGAGAAGGTTCAACAAGGAATATTGAAATTGTTGTCAATCTCTTCACAAGAACAGCTAGTAGATTTTCTTCCAAAACCTTTGCAGTCAACCAAGTTTAATTCTTTTGTTTTCAAGTTTGGCATGATTGATATTTATCATGCTTAAGTTTGAGGAAGGGTGTTAGAGATTATAGAACTCGATGATTTGATAGAAAAAGCCTTGTTATTGAATCACTAACAAACTTTTTAATTCGGAAAACTTTTCAATTTTTTTGTTAGTTAGTTAGGTTTTTTTTACTATTTCTAGAAAGTGGTTAATTAGTTGGTTTTGAAAGTTCTTGTATATAAACCTCATTGTAATCTTCTCCTAGCTTTGAGCTGAATCAAATAATTCATAGCTTCCTCTCTTTTTCGTGGAGTTTTTCCCATTCTAACACTGATCAGTTGAAATAAAGAGAATGTTGCAACCCCTTACTGAAGATGGAGTTGATTGAATTCCATGAAGGTAGTCTATATGCATGAGAACTCCTTTGAAACCCTTTGAGAAAGTATGGTACCAGATCATCAAGATATGCATCTTGCTTATGGGTCATCTCCAAATTGCGAGCCAGGCAAAGCTGGTGGTGTTGCAATGTATCGTGTAGGGAGATAAAAGTACTTTTTGGAGCAATTATTTTAAGTTGAAGTTGAGAAGCATGCTCATCTCCCCCATAGAAAACCTGAAGGTTCATAATCATATACAAAGTTGCAGCAATTCTAATGATTGCCCAAGTGGTGAAGATTTGGGTCTTGAAAGTCTGTAATCTCTCAAGGTCTCAGGTTCATATAATACAGGAACGCAGATAAGAAAAAAACTGCTTCAGTAAGTGGTGCTGTACTGATGTTGTTGAAGGATTAAGAAAGCCAAATAAATCTCATTCAATGTACACGTATGCTTCTTTTCAATAAGACTTTACCACATATTGTTGATACAGCACAATATCCCATATACATCCTAACTAACACACGCTTTACATTACAAAATAGTAACAACCGAAGTAACAAGTAACATTTGAATTATGTAACAACAAGAACAACTATAAGAATGATGACAACTATGATGGCAAGAACTATTAGTTTTATCTTCATGTTCTGAAACCACATCTTTCTCTTTAATTTGCCTGTCTGCCCCCTGAAATCTTGTGCCTGCAAAGCCACATTCAAACTGGCATATCAATTACAAGAACCTACACATACTAGTTAGTTGTTGCAAATAGAACTAAGTTTATGTATGAACAAATAAAAGGACCTGATTGTGAAGCTTTTCAGTTTTGTCCATCAAAACATCAATCTTCACTTGACGATTAAGAATCTGTATACAAGATATAGTAAAATCATTTAAAATGAATACTATTACGGTCGACATCAAGTCTACGCCACTTCGGTTATGAAGTATTGTCTATTTTAGATGTCAGAAAGAACTCTCACATATTTGTTCTTTAGAAAAGACGTCAGGTTGAGTTGAGGTGTCTCTATCTTAATCTAACGGTTTACAATTGATTATCGATGATCCATTTTGGCCATATACATACCTGATCAATATTTTGCATCATAACTTCTTGGACTTCAGAAACCTGAGCTTTTACTTTGACAAGTTTGCTAACCTCTTCTGGATGCTCCACACAATATTGCATATGCTCCTTTAATTTAGGTCTAAACCATGCATATACAAAAAAAAAACTTAGTATTAACTAAAGCAAATCAACTTTTCAAACACATTTTTTATACACATAATTGCTATAAACTGAAATACCCAAATTCTTTGTTTAAGCTTTTAGCTATTGCTGTTGCAGCTTTTCCTCCACTATATCTTTTGGTAAAGTCCTCCTTGATGCGATCAAGAAAGGCCATTGCAATATGGCGATCAAAAGACTCCACTGCCACAAGGCAATAAGCTGAAAATGATATATCATATTGATTAGGAAACATAATAATTAAAAGTATAAATTGAGTAAACTATGAAAAAAAAGAGAGAAAGAAGCTAGTACTGAATCCATCATGGGTGAGGTAGTTGAAGGTATGACCATCTGTGTTGTAAGTGAATTTTGTGTTGGTTGTTGGGAGTCTCTGCAGGCACTGCAGTGCTATTTCCGGGAAGTTTCCGATGAAGTCGGTATGCTCTGCCAGGATCACCGTGCCACGCGCTACAAAGTTGTATATTAGCGATTGTTGTACCATACTGGAAAACGTTCAAATTCAAAACAACTAGATTTACAGATTCTGCTAAGAAACAGAGAAGAGTTTCGGCTTTGAGTTTGATTGGATTAGAGGTATTTAATGTTGCACAAGATTTTTGAAGTATTGAAAGAGATAAATAGAAGCAAAAGCGTGTGTTTGATTCTTGACGTGTTCACTATTATTTCTATTTTGTGGATTTCTTCAAACTTTGAAACATTAAACTTGCAGAAGAGAAGAAAATTGAGGAAGAGAAAATGAGAAGAGACAGGTGGAAAGAAAAGTCACAGCTCGTTTTTTTCTAAGACAATTTTTGTGTTTATAAAAGTCAACAATGTATTATCCAATGTTTTCTTGGGCCCAAGCTTGAAATGGAAATTCGGAAATTTTATCCTATATCCCTACACACAAAATTTAGATCAAAATTCCCTCATATAAATAGATATATCTCTCATAACCCTTGCACTTTCTATTTACGCTGTCAAAAGACTTCCGGAAAACACAAAATATACTCTCCAAACCGGAACACTTCATCAAAAACATTTGGTTTACATTTTATTCTCCAGAACACTTCATCAAAGACGTTTACATTTTATTCTCCGGAACATTTCATCAAAGACATTCGGTTCACATTTTGCCTCTGGAACAGATAAAGTAAGAGTTCCAGATTGAAATATTTTAATTTGTTCAGCGGAACTCATTTTAAGAGTCTTCCGGTTTGTTAAAGTGTGTACCAGAAGACTTCTCAAATGTGTTCCGATTCAATTTTGATTGCATTCCAGAAGAGACATGAAATGACTTTCGGTATTATGCTTGTTGAGTTCCGGAATTCATTTGATATGTGTTCCGAAATTGTTTTTTTTTCACGTTACTTTTTTTTTTTACTTATTTTTTTGTTTGTTTATTTTTTTTCCAGCGGTGCGACCACGAGGCGCTAGGACATCAGGGGGTGCTTTAGAACGGGGCACTTCATTGATTTTTGTTGATGAAGAAGAGCATATTGGTGCATCCGCATCCGCAGCCGGTTGGCTATTCAGGAGGGCCTTACGATAAATCTTTGTTGGTTAGATACGAGCAGCGTATTACCAGGCATTTATGGTTTGGTGAGGTAAGTAAACGACATGTATTTGATATTGAATAATATTTGAATTTTTAATGTTGTGTTTTATGATATTAACACTTTTAATTATTTTCAGGAGAGAGACCCGAAGAAAGAGCTGAAGGTTGCTGGACATGGGATGAAGCTTGTAGCTAAGGTCCCACAACAACTTCCAAGATAGATGGAAAGTTGGGTTTCTAGGTCTGGTCTATGTTCACTCCAGAGAACCAGTTTGACGAAGATAGGCACAAACCTGGTTTTCACATTTGTGGAGATATGACATATAGAGACATCTTCATTTCACATGTCGTTTGATGAGATGAGCATTACTCTGGATGATGTCTCTTATCTGCTTCACTTGCCCATCAGGGGAGTGTTTTGGCCCCCGCAACATATCACAGAAGTGACTGTTATTGATTACTTAGGAGTGTTACAGTATAGGGCGCAAGAACATGTCCGTTATTGCAGGGGTTCTTACTATAAGTTGGAGTGGTTATACGATTTATTCAAAGAGCATATAGTTGTTTCTATATGGGAACATGCGACCAGAGCGTATTTGCTGATGTTGGTGGATTCCATAATTTTTGCCGACAAGACCTTTATGCTTGTCGAGGCCCGATACCTCCTACTATTTACGAACTTGGACAGATTATAAGGATACAGTTGGGGAGCTACTGCGTTGGTTACCCTTTACAGTCATCTTGGAGATGCTTCTATGTTCGGTGGCAAGCAGCTTGGTGGTTGTTCCACAATTTCATTTTTTTATTTTATTATGCTATGAATAAATTTATTTAGTTAATTATTTTGTAACAGTGTTGGATTTACGAGTATTATTCCACAATTTTATTTTTTTATTTTGTAACAGTGCTGGATTTATGAGTATTTTCCAACACTTGGAAAAAGAGGAGAGAATTGGATACCAACGCAAAATTGTGGTCTCCCTCGAGCGATGAGATGGTCCTATAAGCAAGGAGTTCTGAAGGTGGATGAGTTGCGACCTGTTTTGGACGAGCTGGCACCTACTGACGTCATCTGGCGGCCGTTCGAGAATCATAAAGTATGGTGACAATTTGATGAGATATGTCTGTACAGGGGATGTTTGAAATGGGGTGACGTAATTTTTCTATATTTGCCTGACAGATGTATACGTCAATTTAGATACAGGCAGTATATTCCGCCCCACCTCCTGATTACATGATGGCTGATGATATTGATGTTGAGTGGATTGGTTACCATCACAGCGTCCTTATTGTGATTCGTTCGACAACACTGGCCACCATCCCATCTGAGACAGATGATGGATATCTTGAGTGGTATTATTGTGTTTCGCATCCTCGATTGGTACCGCCCCCTTATGATGCGCCAAGAGAGGTATCGGTTCCTCTTTACGATGCAGAACCATCTGATCCTAGCTAGGCTCGTGTTTCAACATTGATTCATCGTTATCTCTGATAGGTTGATGCCGAAGAGGATGACCAATAGTTTGCTGATTTATTTGAAACTTTATGTATTTATCGTTCATATTGACTTATATTTATGTTTATTTTTATGTGTTAACTTTTAGGCTTATTGACTTATGTTTAAATTTATGTATTAACTTTTAGACTCATTTGACCTAGTTGGGATATGTTTATGTGTTAACTTGTAGACTTATGTTTAGTTTTGAATCCAGTTATGTGTTATTGAAATTAAAAATGAATAACATAATTCATGATTCATGTTTTGAAATTAAAAATGAATAATATAATTCATGATTCGTATTTTTAAATTAAAAATGAATAACATAATTTATAATTCATAATGTGTTGGTAATATAGATGTAAGTTGTTGCCAATGTTGTAGACATCCTACAAATCCTAGCATCCAAGATGTTGCTGCTGGAGAACGAAACTTCTTCCAATCTACTGTCATTGGTGGTAATGGAAACCATTCTTTCATGTTTACTTGAATAAAAAAAATAATCAAAACGTTAAGTAAAAATAACTAACAAATTAGGTTAGCCACATTGTCGCAACTGCGAAAAAACAACTAGCAGAAACAAACAGAAGATTCGCCACTGAATGTTATTTATCCCAAAGATAGGGAAAGGAAAAGATCAACAAAAACCTAAAGAACTGGAAAAGACAAGGTCATCGCAACCAAATCTTGGGTTTGGGAGTTAGTTACACAAGGGGAAGGTACGAGCACCCCTCACGTCCGTTGTACTCAACGGGATCCATGCTTGTTGTCTAATCAAACGGTGAGTTATCTAAAAGCTGCTGCTAAACGAAAACGGGAAAGGAAAAATAAAAAGGAGACTCGACAGGACATCGCCGCCCTATGCCTACGTATTCCCTCATGCAATGGGAAAGTCAGAGTCAACGTAGGTAAGAAAACTACGGGTGATGGGGGGAAGGAAATCAGAGCAAACGTGGTTCGGGGAACTAAATCACTGGTTGGTTAAGTGCTTTTTATGAGTGACATTAATTTCCCATTCCAACAGTTAGGATCGATGCCTGTTTGCGGTAGAACGGAAAAGTAACGTACTCTTTCTGAAAACGATTTTGAAACACAATCCCGAAGGATAAAAAGATTTGTATTTGGTTTAAGAGTTTTAATGAAGTGAATTGAATTTTCTTGAGATTCACGTTGCATTAAATACTATGATATAGGAGCGAATGCGTCGCATATCTCCCAAAGGGCATACACTAAACACTCTAGACAAGTGAGGAGAAACCCCACACTCATCATTTCCCATATACTTAAGGCTTGTGGTGGACAATGCTCATCATTCTTTATTAAGTGTCTTAGAGTTATTTGAGGTGAGAGGTGAAGACTCAAAAAGAAAACACTAAAGGGAACTGAAAACCCTAATGTTATCATACAAAATGGTCCTAAAGATAGGATGAAAGGGGAGTCTACATAATGTTATCATACACACGACGGACCTAGAGTTGAGGTCCAGAAGGGACTATCCTAATTGTTACCATGCAAAGGATTGAAAGCCTATTATCTCTCCTACTCCCACCTTAATCAGAAATTAAGCGGGACTAGGAATCCTAAGGGATCATGTGAGTACGCACAAGTAAACACTACTAAATTCAATCAAAAATGAAAACAAAAATGAAACTCAAACAAGTCTCAAAAAGAAAAAAAAAATATAAAGTAGAAGAAAGAGGAAGATGCAATCAAGAAGAACAAACATGGAAGTTCAATGACAAAGAAGTATCAAATACACATATCTCAATCTCATACAAGGTGAACATTTACATCATGTTAAGAATAACAAAGAGCAATCACAATGCCAAACCATGTCAAAATATTTGAAAATCAAAACACAATGGCAAAACAAAGTGCCCACACACATTCAAATGACCTAAACAACTTACAAGAAGCATCAACAATCACAAAGCAAAGTGAAATGAAGTCAAATGAGATAAGAAACATGGTAGGGAAGCAACGTCATCACATCAAATACAATTCATGTCAATGATCAAATAAGGAGCACAAAGAGTTAGGTCATGCATTCCATGCACAATCAAAGCACATGCTACATAAAAACAAACATACACAACATAATCATAAGGTAAATACATGAGATTAGGGCATGGGATTAAATGCGGGCATCAACAATAAGATGGCTATCAAGTCAAAGATCCATCCATGAATACACAAGGGAAACATTAAAGGTTGAACTCAAAACATGCCTCAAGAACAAACACATACACCAAAATCAATCCAAGATAGAAGACACACTACAAAGGCATACATAATCAAGTATCAATCTGTCATGATTAGAAACAAACTCAAATGGCATGTATCATGTTCACATTCCAATCCACAAACAATGTCAAGAAGAGGCAAACACAAATTGAAACATCAAAGGAAAGCAAACACAGGTTCAAATTGTTCATGTGAGGAGTATAAGATCATGCAAGGAAAATGAAACAAAATGAGCATATAATGGACCTCTAATCATGAAAAAAAGAACCTAAGAAATGTTGAGGGAAGCCAAGAAATATCATCAAACACTCATTGCATCATTCAAGAATCAAATTCAAAAAATCATGGCAAGACATGCATAAACTCATTGATAAAACAAACACATTTTGATGCTTCATCCATAAAATAGAAACAAGAGCAAATAAATCCAAATAAATGATCAAACTCATGTCATGTGTGTTATGAATCAAATGGAAAATAATCAAGACAATAGTTGTAAGGAAACATCATCAAATGAAATAAACAAAGACAAGCACTCCATTAATCGAGCAAGAATCGAGGGTCAAACAAAGTCAAATAAAATCAACCAAAATTTGATCAGGCATGAAATAGAATCCAAATACTCATCAAATATGTGTTAGAACATGGTAAAAAAAACTAGGGTTACAAACCACAAAGATAGGTCATGAAGTAAGGTCAAAGTTCCAAACTAGGTCAAATGAACAACCCACACAATTAATTCAAATAAAATATCAAAATAAAAATAAAAAATAAAATAAAAATGTGGAAAATAAGTTAAGATGTCAAAGTATCTAAAAAATATTTAGGATGATTTTTAAAATGATTGGAAGTATTAAAATAAAATCAAAATGCAAAGAAAAGAAAATAAAAAGAAATAAAAATGAAATAGGGAAAGGGGGAGTAATAGCAAATCAGGATACAAAGGATTCTGTAAAACGTGTTAATGGGCCAAGCAAGGGGTGTGTGGAAAGAAAAGAATGCTAAATCCAACCCAAACCAGTCAGTATTCCCATGTGGAATTCATTAATTGACATGGCAGTGAATCAGCAACAAGAACAAATCAGGACAAAACAACTCAAAGCATTTGAATTCAAACCCTGGCGCAAAGGCCATGTCACCCTTCCTTCAACCCTCAGACGCCAGAGCCCTAGCTTCGGTCGTCTTCTTTAGTGAATAGGCCACCGGAGCCACCATAAAATCTCCAGAAATGAAAAACAAACAACACCCCCACTCAGAATTTCATGTAGATTCCAAATCCACCCTTAGTTTTTAAAAATGAACATGCTTTCATGGTGAATCAAAGGCGAAAAGCTTTGAACTCACAAACTGAAACTCAACAAAATAACACAACAAGCTATGCAGACATTGCCTACCATGACTAGGGGTTGAGATGTACTCAAAATGATCCTAACATGGCCTCTAATATGAGAGAAAAAAAATGGAAGAGGAAAGTTACCA